TCCACGACCATTATATTCCACGCCCTCTACTCGTACAGTTGTACTAATTGAAAGATGCCATTAAGCTAGGACTTTATAGTAGTCATAGATAATTGCGCTGGCTCTTTCTTTTATATGTTGTGGAAATATCGACATGGTCTTCAATTAATACTCCGTAGTACATACTCCCTCCATACTCGCAAAAAAAGTCGTTTATGACAATATTTAAGTCAAACCTTGGGAATATAAATCATGAATAACTCTTAAGTTGTCTTAAGTTGTTGTGTTTGAAAAATATAAAAATTATATAAATATATTTGTCTTGAAAAATAATTTCATAAAAGTATACATATATCACTTTCCAATAAATATTTTTATAGAAACAAGGAGTCAAAGTTGTGTTTTGGAGACCGTGTCGCTGTCCTAAACGACTTCCTTTACGAGTACGGAGGGAGTATATACAGAAGTAGTATATAATACTAAAAGTTATCATTGCTTATTTTGATTATATATATGTTAGTGAGAGTCACTAAACATTTTTTTTGTGATAAAATCATCAAATATCACTATATGTGTGATAGTAGAATCGTTATACATATTTTTTTTACGAAACTACCAATTAGTATCCAAACAACTAAAAAATATTTTACATGCGACCAAAACTTATTTTTACGTGTGGTAGGCCGTTCATCTATCCGAAAGTGTTTACGAAAATTGTTATTTTTCAATGCGGGTGTTACACCGCACGCGAAAATCATCATTCTGCTAGGGTAATTATTAATTCGTGTGATACTTAATCATCTCTATAACTCTATACTGAATCATTCTGCTAGGATAATAATTCTGAATTATTCTTGTGATATAATGTCACGCCCAGAAATTCCCAAATAGAATTCCAAGCAGATTGTGCATTAAAATCCCCGTCCAGGACCGGCCGGGGTACACAAACGACAAAGTTGACATACAGATCCACGTCTTACAAACATTATAAAAGTCTTACATAAATGCAGCGGAAAACTTAAAAGATAACTGGAGCTAAGCCTTGACTTGGACTGCAGCGGGAACACCACTCCACAGGTACCCTCGACGGCACGGACGAAGCCTACTCCTCGAAAAAGCCACCATCTGACGCATACTCAAACTTTGGGGTTTGGGGAAAAAAGAGTAAGGCTGAGTACTACCCACTGTACTCAGCAAGTCATACCGGAAAAGGGGTATGATGCACGGAATTATCAAAGGATAGCTATAATGGTTTATTTGCATAAAGCGGGCATTTATAAACAGAAGTTGGAAGCAGTAAAACAGTTGTAATAATTAATCAATATTAATCATCCACTGTCCAACGCTATACTACGTTGCAACAGGCCCAACCAACCACCTGAACTAATCATTTCCATCAGACTACACTAGGGTGAGACTAATCACGGTTAATCCGGTTGACCGCCCATAACCACTGGCACGGCTATTCGAATAGTTTTACTCTGATCAGAGGTGTACAACTGTACCCACAAGACACAGCCCCACGACATGTTTCCGTGCGCCAACATAGCACCACGACATACCGGAAAGAGACCGTGATAGGACCCTTCGCATAACCCCCTCTAACCAAGCAAACCACACCTCAGGTTTCACCCCCACTCCTCGCAAGGCAGCGGGCAGTCCCCTCTCGTGCCTAGGTGAATCCGGAAGCCGCATAGGCCGTCACAGGGCCCATCCAAACTCCATCACGCCCACCCTTGCCTGGATGCGTCAGCTAGAGGAAAGCTACACTACAAGCCCAGCCGTTACCCACGCTGGCTTGTGGTAAGCACGATAAATTCTTCCAGGGTTTCCCGCAAACCGGTCCTTAATTGCCATGAGTGCGACTAACAAAACCATGCACCCACAGCCCACCAGTTAACATATTTTAATGAAGCGCCACCAGGACGGTGGCTCTAATCCAACATCAACACTAGAACCTGAAGTTTAGACATTAATATTTTCCCCACTGTCTGCTAGTTGAACTAAGCATGGATAAGCAACCCCTAGTCCAATATCTAGTCATGTTATATCCCAGGTTAACAAAGGAACATGGTACAAAAATAACAAGGCTATAACAGTAGGTAAATATCCCATGGTAATATTATAAAACAATGCAGTATTTGAAGGAAAACAATGGAGCATTTGCAATTTAGGATCAACATGTTGAAGTGACAAGCATGACTTGCCTTGCTCTGCTGCTGGAGGAACCTCGGCGACTATTTCAAAGTACACCGGAGCGTCGGGAGAGCCGGAATCTAAGCGACATACAAAGCAAACAATACAAACAGGCTATAAGACTACTGAAACAGAGAACAAAACCATTTTTAATGGATTCTATGCATTTTTCTTGATTTACTGAGACTTGAATGGGCTTAAACGGAGCTCAAATGAATTAGTTATGAATTTTAGAAAATTCACTGTGTTTTTACTATAAACAGAAAAATCCTTAATTGATTTATTGCGCAATAAATAAATCCCGAGAGAGAGAGACGGCGCCGACATGCGGGCCCCACATGGCAGTGACTCGGGGAGGGCGGTCCACGGTGGACTGGGTCCATGGACCAGGGAGGAGCGGCGCACCACGTGTTGCACACGTGGCGCCGACATGGCGCACACGCGGCAGCCACGCGGGTGGCCGAACCGACGGCCCCGATCTACCGCCCGGTAGATCGGACGGCGGGTGCGGCTCGCGGCCGGTGCGTGCGGGCACAGCTCAAGCCGGCCCGGCGGCCATGGCGCGCGGCGGCGCAGCGCGCACGCAGCGGCGACGCGAGGCGGCGACCGGCCGGCGGCGGGGGGCGGCAGCGTCGCGGCGACGCGGGCGGCTAAGCAGCGGCTAAGCGGCTAAGCGGCGGCGCGGCGGCTAAGTGGCGTGGGAGAGAGAGAGGAGGGGGAGGAGGGACCTCACCGACGACGACTGACGACGGCGAGCGACGGATGGCGACGGCGATGGCGGGACGAGCTCCGGAACCACCTAGCGAACAAGGTGAGAGGGATTAGAGGGAGAGAGGGAAATGGGAGAGGGTGAGGGTGCCGGCCAAAGGCAGCGGCCATGGCGGTGCTCACCGGCGCACGATGCGGAGAGGGTTCCGGCGGCGGATTCCGACGGAGGAGGGGTGGACGGAACGGCCCGCACGACGGCGAACGCGACGGCGTCAACGGCGTGGCTCGGCACGGCGGCTAGCGGCGACCGGAGCGGTGGCGGCGGCGGCGGAGAGGAGGGCGATGGCACTAGGGCGTTAGAGGGCACGGGAGCGCTTGGCGAAATAGGGAAAAAGAGAGAGGGGAGAGTGGGGATGCTTAAATAGGGGAGAGGGAGCTCAGACGTGGCCGGGAGAGGCAGGAATCGCCGGCCGACGTGGGGGAGTGGGAGAGGAGAGAGAGGCGGGATTCGAAAATCGAATCCTGGCCGTCTCGAGCGCGGGCGCGGGCAAGAGAGAGGGGGAAGTGGGCGCGGGGGCGACGTGGGTGACGTGCCCCGAGAGACGCGGGAGCGGGCGCGGCGACGGTTGCAGGGCACGGCGGCGCCGGCTGGAGGAGGGAGACGGGCCCGACTGGTAGGGCCCACCTGTCGGCGACCCCGGGAGAGAGAGGGAGGCGGCCGGCTCAGCTCGGCTGGGCCTCGGCCTTTCGCTGGCCCAGCGGGAAGGGGACGGAGAGGGAATGGGCCGGCTGCCCATTCGAAAGAAAAAGGAAAAAAGAAAAAGGAAAAAGAAGGAAATGGATTTTCCTGGGATTAAATATTACTTGTGCTCAATTTTAATTGGTTAAAATTATTTCTAGAGCTCTGAAAATTCCACTAAAAATCTTATTAGCTATTTCGACACGTAGAACTCAAGAAAAATTCCACATGCCAATTCTGATTATTAATTGCATTGATTTATTAGGGTTTACTCTTGCTTTACACCGGTATTTTCTTGAGACCATTTATAACTTCAATTTAGGCTTGGGAAAGAACTTCAGGGTGTGACATATAAGACATGTGCAAAACCAAAAAAGCTGATCCTTTACAGCTGCATGCCCACCTCATCAATCTCAGCTGACACGACGGGAGGAAAGAAAATCGATGTTAACATCAACTATTAGCCAAAAGGTAAACGAGAATTTTACTAGAACATGAGAGAACATGATAGAGTAGGGAAAAGAAGGAAGTGGATTACGTACTAGAAAGACATTTGTAAGGATTCTATACATATATAGTGAAATATATAAAATACTACAATAATATAACTCTACGAATTAATGTACAGTATAGTTTAACGATTAGTAAAAGCTAGAACTAACTGTAGTTAATTTTAGGGGTAGAGCAAGTCGAGTTGAGGTTGACATGACTTGACAGACAAGGATTATCTACACCTAGGTGCTATGGCACCTATCATTTACATGCGACTTAAATAGTTATAGAAAGAATTAAAAAAATTTAGTAACATCGTTTGTGATGATACAAGTCTACACAAACATGCAGGACTAAATTTGATCTATAACTAGAGAAAAAAATAATAAAATCAAACAGTGAATAATACCCGTATAGTGCAAATAAAATTTGTTATTTTGGTTTCTTTATATATCGATTGAAATTTGTATGTTTGCATAGTGTCTTATATCATGGACTATCTTATCAAATTTTATGAAATTTTTATATAACTGTTTAAATTACATGCATAGGTGATATGGCACTTAGGTGTAGACAAAATATATTTTGATGACTTGACGAGGTAAATAAAATTGGACCGGGCAGCAAATCTCCAACTTAGAATGACTTAGCTCCCAAGGATACAGTGAAATTCCCTTATAATTCCATGTGATAAAATTCTAAGCTAAGCTTGCTGATTCGAAGACGAAGAGTCAAACATTTAGCTGACGCTATCTTTGACCACGCCGCACTGTTGCCGCGCATGCACACGCATACATGCATGGTTGGTGGCACTAGCTAGCTGGTACTCTCTACTCGTCTTCTTCCTCGCGACTAACTCTAAACCCTATATATACACCTACTAACTCGGAAACCAATCCACACAAACAACCACCTGATAGCTAAGCTAATTAATTAAGCTAAGTACACTGACACACACACAAACACCTAGTAATTAATCAGAAGCTTGGGCAGCTTGGGTAGCAAGGCCATGGCTGTGGCGGTGGAGATCACACGGAGCGAGGTGCTCAGGCCGTCGGAGACGTTGGCGGCCGGCGGCGGCGGCAAGAGGAGCCAGCTCACCGTGTTCGACCGTGCAGCCATGGACTGGTACATCCCGGCCGTCTTCGCGTGGGACGGCGCCGCGGCGCCGTCCAACGACGAGGTTAAGGGCGGCCTCGCCGCCGTGCTGGCCCGGTACCCGCACCTCGCCGGGAGGTTCGACGTCGACGAGCGTGGCCGGAGGTGCTTCAACCTCAACAACGCCGGTGTGAGGGTCCTCGAGGCCACCGTCGCCGCCGACCTCGCCGACGCCCTCGCGCACGACGTCGCCGCTCACGTCAACGAGCTCTACCCCAAGGCCGACATGGTATAAACATAGCTAGTTAGATAGAGCAACGTGACATGTTCAATTATGGAATTAATTGTACGTGTTTTTTGACACGTGTGTTTTGCATATGTTGCAGGAGAACGCCGACGAGCCGGTGTTCCAGGTGCAGCTGACGCGGTACGCGTGCGGCGGGCTGGTGATTGGCACGGCGTGCAACCACCAGGTCTCCGATGGCCAGTCCATGAGCTTCTTCTACGTCGCGTGGGCCGCCGCCGTGCGCAGCGCCGGCGCCACCCTCCCGACGCCGTTCGTCGACCGCGCGGCGATCGCGGTTCCCCGCGGCCCGCCGGCGCCGGCGTTCGACCACCGGAACATCGAGTTCAAGGGCGAGCACAGCTGGACCCACTCCTACGGCTCCCTCCCCCTGGAGCGGATCAGGAACCTCGCCGTCCACTTCCCGGACGAGTTCGTCGCCGGCCTCAAGTCCCACGTCGGCGCCCGGTGCAGCACGTTCCAGTGCCTCCTGGCGCACGCGTGGAAGAAGATCACGGCGGCGCGCGACCTCTCGCCGGAGGAGTACACGCAGGTGAGGGTCGCCGTCAACTGCCGCGGCCGCGCCAGCCCGGCGGTGCCCATGGACTACTTCGGCAACATGGTGCTCTGGGCGTTCCCGAGGATGAGAGTCCGGGACCTCCTCTCCTCCAGCTACGCCGCCGTGGTCGGCGTCATCCGCAACGCCGTGGCGCGCGTCGACGAGCAGTACATCCAGTCGTTCGTCGACTTCGGGGAGGTGGCCGCCGGCGACGAGCTGACGCCGACGGCGGCGCCGCCGGGCACGGTGTTCTGCCCGGACCTGGAGGTGGACAGCTGGCTAGGGTTCAGGTTCCACGACCTCGACTTCGGCCGTGGCCCGCCGTGCGCGTTCCTGCCGCCGGACGTGCCCGTCGAGGGGTTGCTCATCTTCGTGCCGTCGTGTGCGGCGAAGGGTGGCGTCGAGATGTTCATGGCGCTCGACGACGTTCATGTCGAGGCTTTCAGGCAAATCTGCTACTCCATGGACTGATCAAGCGAATATATTTCACAAAAGTATTGTATCTATAATATATTGTTATAGTTTGTTACAAGTACAAGAATTGTGTGCATATTTGCAAGATTAGCCAGTCAATTACGACCTGTCATATACTCTCTCTGTTACTAATTATTAATTCTTTTCTTATTATTTTTTCAAACATATTTAAAAAAGTTAACTGCGTTAAATATTTTAAAAGCGTAGATATCTGTACTGTTGAGTTGGTTGATCTCCTCATGGTCCCTTGTTGGCTCTACGATTTTTCTTTTTCTTTTTATTTTGTCAAATTAATAAAGCTTAGCTTTGTATTTTTGGCTTTTCAGTATTTTCCTTGACACATGGTAATTTAATTGCTGTGTGTATATTTATGTAAAAAGCTTTCTGGAGGTGTTTATAGGAGTGTGTGTCGTGAGTCTCTATGTTTATACTATGTTTCTCAATAAAATAAAATGAAATAAGTTAAAATAAACGGACTACATACACATCTTTATTTTAGTTTGCTTGTTCTATACTTAGATTATGTTCTTAGCATGGGTTAGGAACTAATCCTAGATGGATTAGCGTATAATTAATGAAGAATTAGATAAAATACTTAAAAATATATTAAATATTAATATTATTTTTAAAGCAACATTTCTATATATCTTTTTTTTTAAAAAAACATCATTTAGCATTTTGAAAATTTTGAGCATGAAAAATAAGAGAGTGAAGTTGGTAATTCGGACTCCCAAACGTTATTCCCCCAATCTAATGGATCAATTCCTTTATTATATATGCAAGTAGTTGATATATGTTAGGTATCGTAATTAAACGTGCTAAAATAAGATGGCCAAATTGCCAAGTTGTGCCATATCTTATTCGCCATGACTTATCTATATTGCAGCATTTGGATTATATATATTAATTTTTATATATAATGATTTAGAGAAAGCTAAAAAAATATATATGAAGTAGTTACTCTCTATTTTTGAGAAGTTTTCAGGGCTCAAAATCAATTTCTATAAAAGGATTCGAGAGTTAAAGGACAGCATATATGATTTGGTGCGTATGACGTCAGTGGTTTTGTTCGCCGTTGGATCCATGCGTTGCAGGAGAACCATCACCCCAATGCATGAATACACGAGTAAAAAAGTGCTTGCTCTGTTTAACAATATAAGTCATTCTAACATTTCCCATATTTATATTGATTTTAATGAATCTAAATATGGAAAATGCTAGAATAATTTACATTGTGAAACGGAGGGACTACACTATACCCGCATATCCCAACAGGTTATATATAATTATTCCCTTTTCCATCTTGATGATACATGAGAAGGATTTGGAGGCTGCTACAAATTAGACGTTCGGACGCACACGTCAGCATGACGTCATCAAGCATGCATGCATGCAAAACTATTTTAAACTATTTTTCTCTTAAATTGTTTATCAAAATCACGATCCGATTGCATTATTAAATTCGTTGCAATTAAATCTTAAAAACAAGACCACACATGGATATATTCCGATGAAAAAAATTAGCTTATTATTGAATTATTTTTAAATCTTGCATGTTGTTCCACCAAGTATATCAGAATTGTTTCACTAGTTAGATCGAAAATGTTTCAATCGTTTAAATCAGGCGTTGTTTCACCTTATATAAAAACAATATTTCAGCAAATAGCAAAATAATGTTTCAAGTCACTACATTATAAGTACACTAGGTAAAACATTTTTTGTGGAACAAAAAATGAAACAAATTTAATAGAGGGTTTTCATAATATGTGGGTGATTTGTTGCAGAAGAATGTTTCAATTTACTGCAGCATTACATCTATACATAGTGAAACATTGTAAGTACACTATGTGAAATATTTTTAGTGAAAAAAAAAATGAAACGGATTACCTTAATAGAGAGTTTCCAAAATATGTGGGTGATTTGTTTCCAATGAAATATATGGTAGGGACACGTGGCAGCACGAGGGCGCACGTGGGCCGAGAGACGTGGACGGTACAGCATGCGGCATGGTGGGCATCGGCGGCAGCAGCGCCCGATGCATGGGGGGTTGAATCTATGGTGGGCCCCACCCCAACGCTTCCGTCCAATATTTTTCTCCGCTCCGGGCGCTCGATATGAAGCATTTTCGGGAGAAATTTCAGCCCTTTTAACGCTTAAAAAAAAAGGACGTAACTACTTGTCAAGCGTTCGATTTAACACTGAAAATCGAGTGCATGTACATAGCCACTCGCATGCAAAGACAGACAGCAAGTAGGCAACAACAATCCTTGCATGCAAAGACAGGCAGCAAGAGGCAACAACAATCTTTGATATATAATATTGTATATTAGTTATTTTATGCAGAGTCGACGGGTTAATTTTACACTACTTAACTACCGTCAACAGACCAAGACACATATTCTAGTACAATATATTTAGACAGAGCACTTTCCAAATACGTTATACTACAATATGTCACATCACATCCTAGGTTGGGTTTTTTTAAAGAAGGATGGAGTATATGTATATATTCATTAAGATATATATGAATGTGGATAATGGTAGAAAGTCTTATATTATGAAACAGAGGAAGTAGGATAACACGTTTTAATAAGATAGGTTTTCGGTAAAAATAAATCGAAAGGTTTATAAAATTAAAAGGAATTTAAATGGGAGAATTTGAATTTGAAATTAATGAAACTCAATGGAATTCTGTAGTGAATTTCCTTTTTCTTTTTTCCTTTTTTTTTTATCAAGCAATCCAGTCAACTTGCATGCCACCACATATGTAATGCAGTGCATCGAGACCGTTTCCGAGGTTTCTGGTGGGTTGTTAGACGATGAGCCCGGATACGATATTTTTCTCAGCCGAAGTCCAAAGGATTCTTTCTATACCATTGCAACTAGCTAGTCGGGAGAAAGAAGACGGACGTGCCATTTTTGATCGGGTCGAGCCGATGTTGACGCTTCCCGGCCTAACATTTCTACTCGGGGAAACGCATTGCACTTGTAGAATTTATGCACGGGGCGTGCTTCTTTGAGCTATTTCAATTCAGCATTTGATTTTTGAAATTGATTAATGTGTTTCACAGTCGCTTTTTCATTAAACTTGTTTTTTACTGCTTCAAACACTTGTTTTTTCATTAAACTTGTCTTTTACTGCTTCGGAAATTAGTAAGTAATCACTACTACGAAAGAGATCTTTGCATGTGGGCAAAATCGATCTTTGCATGTGATTAGCGGGCCTGCATGCTTGGAAAGGTATGCCCCTCCCGTCCGCCGCCAACCGCTCGAAGAGGAAGAGGGGAGGAGAGGAGAGAAAGAGGAAAGGGAGAAATATCTGGAGAGGGAGAGGAAAAAAACTGAAGTGGTCAGGAGGGAAACAGGGAGGAGGAGAGAAAAACGGAGTGAGCTTTTTTATATGCGGACCACTTAAGAGTCCGTATGCGAAAATAGTCATTAAAAATAATTTAAAAATATAAGAATTTTGAATCAAATTTTATGATACTAAATGAACTCACGTGAAAATGTTGTTAAAAACAAAGTTGTGGAAGTCATTAAGATCCACCAATTTTCTTTTGGTAATTTCTCCGTACGAGTTTGATTGAGCTATCTGAAATTTGAATTTTAAAATATAAGAAAATCAAATAATTTTTCGGGTAGTAAATGATTTCAAATGGAAAAATTGTCAACAACAAAGTTGTATAACACATCAAGATCTACAACTTTTATTTTGGTCATTTATCTATACGACTTTGTTTCAACAGTTTGAATTTGAATTTCAAAATATGACAACTTCAAACAATATTTTCGAATACTAAATGATTTCAATTGAAAAATTCATCAACAACAAAGTTGTATAACTCATCAAGATATATAACTTTTATTTTGGTTATTTCTCATCCGACAAAGTGACAGTAATGTTGTTCATGAATTTTACATATCTCTCATATGATTTTATAAATTATAAGAGAGATATGTAAATTTGTGAACAATGTTACTAAGTTTGTCGGATGAAGAAATGACCAAAATAAAAGTTATATATCTTGATGAGTTTTGAACTTTGAACTTTTATGTTTATGACTTTTTCAGCTGAAATTATTTACTACTTCAAAATATTATTTGAAGTTGTCATTTTTTGAAGTTCAAATTTTTAATTGATAAAACATAGTCACAAGAAAAAATGGCCAAAATAATTTCAAAAATGGCCAAAAATGGCCACTGGAAGATTCTTTTATCTTGCCCCTCTCAGATGCAGCTTATGGAGAGTTCTTGCAGCTACAAGAAGAATTAAATCATCTGTAGCTTCAGCCAGGAAGAGGTGATGTTTAGAGCTTCATTTGGGGATCAAATGTATACACAGCGAAAAGATTTTATAATCTTAATTTCTCCACACTGCATCCTCCCAGACCCATGATTTGGCTGTGGAAGACCAAATGTGTCATGAAGATAAAAGTCTTTGCATGGCTTTTATTTTGTGATAGATTCAACACAAAGGACATGCTTGACAGAAGACATTGTGCAAAAGAGGATGATGATCTCACATGTGCTTTGTGCAACACACATCAAAGAGAGACTAGGCTTCATCTCTTTTTTACATGTCCCTTCAGTGTGGCTTGTTGGCAGTAGATGGGCATTTGCTGGAATTGTAATTTGGAGTTTTTCCAAATGCTTGTCTTGGCGAGAATCAGATTTGCTCGAAAGGGTTTCCTTGAAGTTTTTTTCATGGCAGCATGGCATATTTAGAAGCAAAGGAATGGATTAATCTTTCAATCTGTCCAGCCATCAATTCAGTCATGGAAAGCTATGTTTGTTAAAGAAGTTCTTCTGCATATGTGTCAGTGTTCACCTAGTCGCTAAACGCTAGTCAGACGGCCACCTACTGACTAGCGACTAGGCTGATTAGGCGGCGACTAGACGGATTAGGCGAATTAGACGTTTTTTCTATTTCTTTCACACAAAAATATTGATTCTAGACATTCGGTACTCGGTAAATATAGGCATTTAGGAAAATAGCATAAATCATAGTTAAATTCAGAAATCATCAAGTCCATACAACGCACTGACACTGCACACGAAGCATTGGGTTTAGTACAAATCTATAGGGATAGCAAACACATCAGTATAGCCACTGTACATGCACATCATAATTTATAAATCATAACTTTATAGATATGAGGGGCTGGAGCTAGGAGAGGAAGAAAAATTTATCTGGAACTGAAAGAACAGAGGAGGTGAGGTGGTGGAGGGGAGCCTGATCCCGTGATGGCCTGATCTAGGGTTGGCGTATGCTGCTTGAGTGGTTCTGTGCTTGACTGCTTCAATTGGTGTGTTTGCCACCTTCCA